CGACTGGGGCTCGATCCTTGGTCAGGATTACCAAAAACGAAGGGGGAGGAGAACGGGGTGAACGGACGGGTCCGACCCGGTTTCTCTAGCTGGGGAAAAAGAGGTCCTCGCCGGGCCTGTTCGGAAAGGGGCGATGGATTCCCCCGCGCAGATTCTCAATCCTCGCCGTCGGGTTCGTCGAGGCCTCGGGGACTCACGACCGTGGGAGCTCGGCGAGCGGGGGCTGTCGCCGCAGTCGAGGTACGAAAACGGGCAGGGAGAGCTCCGGCGTCCCGGGAGAGTTCAAGGAACCGGGCGGCTCCTTTGTACCCCAGAACCAGCCTTCGCCACGAGCAGGAGTCCCCCTGCTGGCACCAACGGCAACCAAACAGGGGGCGCCACGCGGCGCAAGCCGCAGACCAGGGGAGCACCGTCAGGTCGGTGTAAGGCAGTATAAGGGGCGGGGAAGAAAAGAGGTCTATCAACACAAACCCTTCCCCCGCGATGTGGCAAGCCCGTTCAGGGTTGCGCTAGTGAAGCTGCTCCGTGCGCCGTAGGGCACTCCGTACATCCGCGTCGCAATAGACGCTGTCGTTGTCGACGATGGGGAAAATCGGGAATGCACTGCGACGCGCGGAGTCGGGGTAAGTGCACGGGCGAGAACCCGTGCTTGATTGGAAATCCGTCTCCATACAAAGAGCGACAACGTCTCTCTCTCTCTATCGGGTTTGACACCACTCAACCAGAGGGGTCCAAGTGGAGGGGCGGAGCCGTTTGCTAACCACCTTCAGCTGGCACAGCGAACGTCTCCGGTCCTCAACAGCGATGCACCACGTCAGACGTCGGCGCCGCGGGACTCCACTCGAGCGCGCAGGACGGGAAGGCCCTCGCCCTGCGTGATCGAGCAACGGAACTAACAGGGGAACGAGGCAAAAGGAGAAAGAGGTACGATGGCTGACTTAATCATGCATTCAAGCAGACAATCGCCACGCAATACCTAAGGACCACATACATGCATACGCTGACTCACACCCCTTCACAGACCATCTCACTGCGACTCACTCTCATGCATACAATCGATTACCCACTCAATGGGACGTTGCATACATCTCACGGAGACAGAGCAGCAATGGAGAAAAAGCGAGTTTCATTGTACACAAAATTTTCCAATTGGCTGACGCCCTCAGGCGCAACCGCAAACTTCCCAAGGACCACCGACCACCATAGCCACAAGACCCTGTCGTGATCGGCGTCCGATCTCCACCACTGCTCAATCCCTTCAGCTGGCTTACCCCGAGTCTATCGCTAAGCCCGACCCACGTTGTCACTCCGCCCGTAACTTGGGCTCGTCAAGCCTGTTCGGCGTCGCGCACGTTCGCGTATAGCTCGCTCAGCATTGCAACCGAGATCAAAGAGAAGGAGAGAAGGGGGTTGCAACAATTTATAGCGTGGGAGGCGACGGGTTGTCAACGCAAGGTGCGGGCAGCGCCAGTTGTAGACGAGCAGGACATAAGAAGGGTGAAGGGTTTCGGAAGGGGTGTTCCGCGGAGTCGCGTGGTCAGGCGTAATTGGGGTGTTCGTTCAAGTGGTGCGCCTTTTCGCCTTCCACATTGATCCGCGCATCCAAACTACGCAGCCATTCACTCGCGGAGGAAGACGGGGTGGGGATCGAGCCGGGAGTAGGGGAAGACGAAGAGTCCTTCATGGGGGAAACGCGCGCAGCAAGAAAGGAAGATGGCGCGGGGATGAAAAGCAAGAAACGGGGGTGCGAGGCGCGCGAAGAAGTCGGACCTTAGGCGCGCCGCACAAAAATTCAAAAAGTCCCAACCGAAACCGTTTCTTGATTTTCATACCGCGGCCGCTATTCGCCCAACCAAAGAAAAGTGAAAAAGACGTTTCAAAAAGAAACAAAAGTAAAAAAATAGAAAACCCCCTTTTTGTTCGCATCCGTACTTCGGGGCTTCCGAGGGATTTTTCCTCAGGGATACGGCAAGCCGCGCGGTACGGGTCTGAGCTTATCACAGTACATCTGAATGAGACCGGCACGCCAGCCTCTTCGGATGCATCTGGCATACCTTGTCACCACGTGCACAATCTTCTCTGTCGCTGAAACGATAAGGCCTCGAGTAGATTGGAAACAGTATGGCCGGTACCTCACAGCTCTTTCCATTTGTGGCAAGGCCGGCTGGTGTTCGTTGTGGTGTTAATACGATTGCGGTAGGGATGTACGGTGGTTGCCACAAACGGACGCCTTCAATCAGCTGTTCGCATCATGCGTTGCGCACGGGAGCCGGGGCCCGGTCACGCATGTCCACGGCGAGGTACCGTCAAGAGGTGGGACTCGTGGTACTCTATACTTTAATTTTGCCTCTCCCCGGATGCACAGCTCGCTACGTTGGTCCATTAGCGATGAAGGGTATGAGGCCGACTGTTGGGGGGTTGCGGAGGGGGGTTTAATTGCTATTGGGAGGGAGGGGGGGGTTGGGTACTGCCGTCTAACAATGCCGCGCCTTAGAAGGAGAGAGCGAGAAGACCTCGCTGTGGCAGTGATGGCCATCGCCGGTAGGATGGCCGAGGATGCATTTCAAAGCTTGGATGTGCTGCTAGGTTCCCGGACAATGCGACCACTGTTGTTGGGGCCTGAGGTTGGTCACACCCCGTTCGGTGGAGGAGAAGATGATGACGAGCACGAGAGTGGACAGCGCAGTCTACTTTGGCTGTTGCCAACTATTGTTGAAATCTGTAATCTTTATCCAAGGCGTTCGCCTAGGTGGTGGGTCATGCGCCGTTCAGGTGGATTATGGAACGATCTTCAGATCGCCGATGACGCCGAGAACGATCATTACATAGGGCTGCTGCGCATGCCTCGGTCAACATTCAATAAACTGTTGCGAAAGGTCGGTCCACTTCTCGAGAAGGAGGTGACAAGATTCAGGTTGCCGTTGCCTCCAGCAAAGAAACTCGCGTACGCTATCCATAGATGGGCCCACGGTGACTCTCACTGGCACAGTTGCTCAGCATATGGGATGGGCAAAACAAGCGGGTTGTGAGCCGTCAGAGAAGTGGCGGAGGCCATTCATGCATCGTATCTGAATGTTGTTAGCTTTGGGGGGTTCGAAAACCCTCATCGCTGAATGCAGAAGTTTGAGGGGTTGGGTTTTCCAAATTGTTGGGGGTGTATTGACTGCAAAATGAAGATATGTTTGCAAAATGATGACGAATTATAAAGGATTCATTTACATCCAAAGTTATTGTCAGTTCGTGTTTTGTTTTTTCCCCCCCCTCTTTTGAAGCGAGGCGAACGTCTTTTGTGCGTGCGTCTTTTATTTGTTTCAGTCATCTTGAAGCTTGTGTGTGTGAATGGCATCAACGTTTTCTCTTTTTTTTGTCGATGATCTATCATGTGCTATAAATGATTATCCCACAATGGCGGCAAGTAATTATCAACCATCATCGGTGGGACACAC